CATTAGTAAAAGTTTATTGTTAAATTGGCATTGTCTCACTGATTTCGGTTGCTTTGGTTCTTGGACCTCGTTCTCTTCCACTGTCTGTTTTTTCTAAATTCGACAACATTCAAAGGCTCCAAATGAAAGATGCCATATGCAATTGGATCAAGTTATAACTTAAAAACAGGAGATAATAGAAATTTTAGTAGACACAATTAAACAGCGTCACATGGAACATCATGTGACGTATACGGGGTGTCTCATTATTGGTGTAACTTGGACCCTTTTTTGGGGTAGGTCAGAACCTTTAAAAATTTTTTAATTTTTAGGATCTGAACTTTTGGAATTTTGGAATTTTGAAATTCTGAGATTCTAAAATTCTAACATTTCAAAATATCAGAAATCCAGAATTCTGAAGTTCCAGGTCTGAAAAATTTCAAACTTCCACAATTCTAAGAAACCTAGTTCACCCCGGAAGAAGGTCAAATTTACGCCAATGACGGAAACCTTCCGAGAAGTGGGGGCCAAAACTTTAGCCCCACTTATTGTTAAACACCCTTGACCCACTGCTACATTAATATAATAAATTGTATTTACAGACTGAGCCACTATCTCTAAACATCGTCAGCTTAGAAGCCAAAAGATGGCGTCCATTGAGAGCAAGACTCTCATCAGTATTCACATCTGGAAAACTCAAGGATATGTTCCCTCTAATACTTGAATGCTCCAATCATCTTGAAGAGTGTTTAGAGAAGATAGTTGAAAAAGATGGACTTCTTGATTGTCGCGAAATAGCAGCAAGATTTACCACTGATGCTATAGGAAGCTGTGCCTTCGGGATTAATATGAATGCGTTATCAGATGAAGGAAGCAAATTTCGACAAATTGGAAAAAAAATGTTCAAACCTGATATCAAGAGACGTTTATTAGGTACTGTGAGAGAAACTATGCCATGGTTGTACAATTTGCTTGGCTTCGTGATACCGCGAAATGAAGTGACGACATTTTTGACAAATATCGTCTCAGAGACGATAAAGTACAGAAAGGAGAATAATATTGTCAGACCTGATTTTATTAATGTGCTCATGGAGCTAAAGGATGATCCAAATAAATTGGAGAATATCAGTAAGTAAATTTGAAGTTTAATTACGCAAAATGAGCCCGAAGGGCGAACAAAGCATTCTAAGGTCAGGATTTTCATTCTTTAAGACATTACTCCTTTGACACTAATAGTTTGAAATTTTGTGTCAAAATCACTACTAATATGTAGATAGTTGTTACCTCGGTACTGCAGCATTCGGCTTTCTCTTCTTGGTTATGACTGTACATTGAGTTGCATTGAACTTGTCGCAGTGAAGTTGGCTACAAATTCACTAACGCATTCGCGCCGCGTCGGTGAGTGAATGCGTAACCAACTTCACTGCTGACCTGATGTTCAGTCGTCGGTGCTAGGCAGATTACAGGTTTTAGGCGCTTTTTACTCGAATTTTTAAACGTTAATTACCGGAAAACAAAGCCGCAGACACTATTTCATCATATTTTGATCCCTAGAATCACCCCTTAAAAAGTCTCCCACCTCTTGTTGAACACCTTATATATAGGACTCCCTCCCCTCCATTATCATTCTCTTTGAAATCACCTACGATAAGGGGCGGAAGCCTGGAAAGAGAAGGCCTGCCATGCTCGATACACACTATACGATTACCAAACCATATTGAAATTATTATACTGAATATTACACAAATTATCCACCTACCACCCAACTACCTTTCGCGTACCATTGGTGATACGCGTACCACTCGATTTGTGATCCAGGATCAGCGATGTAAAATGTCAATTTGGGAGCTTAAATTTGAAAATTAACCATTCGTATCTTGAATAAACAAGAGAATTAATGAGTTAATATTCAATTATAATAAATGGATCATCAATGTTCAAATGGCATCTCATGAAATTTTTCAGAGGTGACGGACAGCCTGCTTACCGCACAAGCTGCTGTTTTCTTCGCAGCTGGCTTTGAAACTTCTTCAACTACAGTTGGACACACTCTGTATGAAATGGCTTTGAACCCTAATATTCAGGATAAACTTCGACAAGAAATAAAAGAGGTTTATACTAAAAATAAGGGAAACTGGACTTATGACAGCCTAAGAGACATGAAGTATTTGGATAAAGTATTCAAAGGTACGGTGATAAATATGCAGAATAACGGAGCCATCTTGGATTTCAATGGCGGACTCTTCTAGTTTTGAGTTATTTGAAAAAAAATTTAATTTAAAGCTACATCAATTTTTGACAGCATTTTATATTCAATAATGTTAGGTATAAAGATATCTCGTGTTTACGTTCCTTACTGAAATCGTTGACTAAAGGTCAATACTAATACTTAATACTCGATACTCTACAGTTAATTCTCCATAAATTAATCGCACCTTAATTCTCTATTACTAATAAACTTATTTTTCTTTAACAGAAACACTCAGGAAGTATCCACCAGCTGGGCTCCTAACAAGAAGATGTAACAGCAATTACACTTTCAATGGCACAAAAGTATCCATCCCAACAGATACTGAAGTGTTCGTCTCTGTCCATGCGATTCACACAGATCCCAACATCTATCCAGACCCCGACGTTTTTGATCCTGAAAGGTTTAACGAGGATGCAGAAGCTGCACGACACTCTATGTCTTTCATACCTTTTGGCGATGGACCAAGAAATTGCATTGGTAATTTATTAAACTAAAAATATGAAATAATATAGAAATTAACAGCAATGTCTAAGTACAGTACTGAGCATCCTAGCTTTCCTTATGGAAAATGGTGATGTAGAAGAAAGAAAATTCACTGCTTCTCTTTAACCCTCGGACGACGGACCATGGAGAGAACTACAATTTTAATTTATGTAATTTTGTGTTTCATATTCCCATTTTCTAAATTTTAGTGTTCCTTTAAAAATTTTTCTTCCAATATGTATAAAACTCTTTCATTTAAAAATTATACATTTAACTTTAGATTAACATTCTTGTATATGTTTTGTAAGATTGGGTCACCACTGACCCAGGCTCCTCTGTTCAAGGGTTAAAGGTCAACAGAAAGAACAGCTCAAGATCGAAGTGATCGTAAGATCATCTGTTTAGCTTTCTCGAACTTTGCATATCGAAAAAGATAAATAGATGAATTCGACTAAAAAAATTACTAAATTACTTATCACTCGACTAAATTGCTCGACGTGTGTAAACAAACCTTAAGAAGTAGTAATTCACAAGTATTAACACATTGAGCCGGAGGCAATTTTTCAAACCCTACCATGGATTTCTGAAATTATAAAATTCCCACGCCTAAGGGGTAGATCTGCGAGTAATGAGGCCTTCTTCCCCTACAGCGCCATTTTTTTGTAGAGAAGCCTACTATGTCCGGTACTTCGCATCAAATACTAAAATTACATTTCATAATGATTCGTCCATCTTTTACTGCTGTTTTTATATACAGGGTGTTTGACAACAGGTGGCAGATATTTTAAGGGGTGATTCTAGGGGTAATCAAAATAAGACGAAAATCAAGAATGACGAAATAGAGTTCGCGGCTTTGTTTTTCAGTAATTAAAGTTTAAAAATTCGAATAAAAAGCGCCTAAAACCTGCAATCTGCTCAGCAACGACGACTGAACGTCTGGTTAGCAGGGGTGGGTACAGTCATAACCAAGAATCATTGAATAGTAGAAACTTACCTCGTGCTATTCTGTTTCTCGGTACTGCAGCATTCGGCTTTCTCTTCTTGGTTATAACTGTACCGACCCCTGCTTACCCGAAGTTCAGTCGTCGTTGCTGAGCAGATTGCAGGTTTTAGGCGCTTTTTACTTGAATCTTTAAACGTTAATTACTGGAAAACAAGGCCGCAAACTCTATTTCGTCATTCTTGATTTTTATCTTATTTTGATCCCTAGAATCATCCCTTAAACAATCTCCCACCTGTTGTCGAACACCCTATATAATACAAATATTATTAATTACTGTTTCAGGAGCACGTTTTGCAATTTACCAGACCAAAATTGGAATAATACAGATGTTGAAAAATTTCAGAGTTGACGTTTGCGATAAAACACTAATTCCATATGTTAGGCATCCTACAGCTCGTGTGCTTGCACCACAGAGAAGCATTATTTTGAAAATAAGTAAAGTTCAAAATTAAATTATAAAAGACATTAACAATAAGATCTTACTTTAGATCTATAAAATTATTGTAAAATAAGTAATGTTGATAAAGTATGAAGATTTTAAAGAGTAATGTATGTACTATATTAAATGTTTATATGTAGTTGTATATATGTGAGAAAAATAATAATACAAATTACTAATTTGTTATGTTATGCGATATGTTGCTCATTGTCAGTCAACTAAATTAAATCCTAGAATAATTAATTCCTGTTCATATTGAGAATAATTCCTCACTGACACATTAACTGAGTTATATTTGAATTTTTACAACTTTTTATAAATAAGACAAAGGAAGAAATTTTTCTTAAATTAGTGACACATAAATGATCGATTGAAAAACATCCAATGCAGGGCTGGTCCTATTGATAGTGCAATTGATGGTAAAATTGATTTAAACTATACGAAATTCAAATCTAATAAATCATAAAAAAACTAATAAAATAAATCATTAAAAGTCTTTTATTACTTTCCTGTTGAGATATTATTAGATATTAGGATATTATTTAAATTTTTGCAGAACAAAACATCATAATACCTATTTTAAAAACTACTAATCATCACATTTAAGGGGGTAGACACGGCACGTGACCTCATAATGACTTAAAACCTAATCTTCTTATTAATTGTCAGTCTTTATATAAAAGGTTTAATTAAACATAGCAGTAAACATTGTACTGATTACTTGTTATTCATTAATTTAATCTTTCATCTCTTGTGGATTGTGATATCTCAATAGAACGAAATTTTTTAGTTCTTACGTATTTCATTGGAAGTGTTGATAGCGACATCTACAGATATAATAGTCCATCTGTAGCATCGATCTGAAACACAAGGGGGCCGAGTACTCCGACGATAAGATTCTCGATAAACAGTTAAGGTAGTGCAAACGGGCGGAACACATCGACTTAACCTGTATTAAATAACTCTTTTCCAAGATAAAGACGTTTGGTAGTTGACTAATCATTATCAACAATTTTATTTGATCGTTTCATGGAAATCTAATTTGTGCAATTCATGGTGACAATTCTTCCTACTTTTATTTATATTCCATCCATATCTCCACTACCTTTATCTCCTGTATCTCCTCTGAACATAACAGGCTACTTTTACTCAAGAGTGCGTCGTTAATGTACACTGAGAAAAATATTTCCGTAAGTATTTATTATCTTTATAAACAATCGTAAACAGAATACTTATGTAAATCGTATTAGCTCGCTGTGTGAATACTATTTCATTTCCGGTTATTTGAGATGACAGTGACTGACCTTGCTGTACAATTTAAAACAGTGGTAATACTTGTCACTGTAGTAATAATTGCATTACAAGGAATAATGCATATATGTAATACACAGTTTTTATGCTCTTCCTGACATATTTATTTTTCTTTCAAATGAGATAATTTTTGAAACTGAAAATATTTTTAAATATATTGAAAATATACCTCATTTACAATTTTAATTGAAAACAGGGCGAAGTTTTCGAAAACCTGTCAAATCTGATTTGGCTGAGATTCTGCAAATAGCTTCATTTTGCATGAAAACAATATTTGCGAGAAGGATTTTTGGCGACTCAAAGGTTAAGATTCAAAATTTGGCGAAAAATGTTTTACCATGTTAGTGTAATTTCCTGCATTACAGACACCGCGTAGAATGAGGTTACAACAGTATTCTGTATACGTTTTTCATTAGTTTTCATTATATACATATTTAATGTCTTCCAATAATTGATAAAATGGATCTCCTCCACTTTTCTTTTCTTTCGTCACCGACGAGATACTGTTAAAGACTGCCATTCCCTGTGTTAAAGTTCGGCACGTCAAATGGGCCTGGGGTACAATCGGTAAATAGGAATGATGGATAATGTAGAATAGTGATATTACCCATTGTACCGCCGAAAAAAACTGTTATATGACCAACGAGATGATTTAGCTTTGTCACAGTACAATAATTATCTCGTCGGTACTGCTTGGAAAACAATTATATTTTACCTTATAATTGGATTACATTCTTATTGTAATAATCGATACTACATAAATATATGAAAAATAAGAATATTTGGTATGTAACATTCTGAAAAAAATAGAAGAATTGAATAAAAAATAATTCGAAAATTACTGTTATATTTATAAAATATCATTTAACTGTTAACAAAGACTCGTCTCTTAGCAGACTGTTAACAGGTGGGCATTTTTACCTTTTTCACAGGTAGTGGAGGTAGGCATTTTTAACAGAGAATGACATACTAAGCACTTAATGTATTCCCTTATTCTGCCATGTGGTGAACAGAGTCGAACGTCCCAAACGTTTAAAAGCTTGCGTCCTTGCATACCCGCGCTGACACTGGAGCACTCAAGGGGGGCTAAGGGGCTCTAGCTTCCCTCAAAGAAAAAGGAAGGAGAACAACAGAAAATTTTCCAAAATCTGTTCCTAATTAAAGTAGTGTTACTGTTTATGTAACATATTAATAACAGTTTTTTGTATTAAAAATAATTTTAATACAAGATTTTAAAGAAATAATAATAGCATCGACCAGATAAAATATCATCTCATGTCTCATGATACAGTTCAGCACCGAACCTCGTCGTTGGTAAACTCACTGACTCTGGTTCTGTTTCTTACTGCGGCCGCAATATATTCTAGAGGGCGTAAGAAAACGTCGAATTTTTTCGCCGCCGCGAACTCCCATAAGGATGGCAGTCTTTAACAGTATCTTGTCGGTGCTTTCGTCCTCAAGAAAACTCAGCATTCCCGGTATTGACACTGTGTCGGTAAAGCAGAGAATGACATTACCGTTAGAATATTACAACCGCCTTCAAATATTTTCGCTACTGTTGCACAATTTGATTGTCCAACAAATCGGCGGGGGAAATCCCTCCCTCCGCACCACTACACCATAAAATATAGCATAATCTAACCTATTTTGTTTTAAAGATACGTGGGTAATGTAGGAAATGATATTAAAATAATAAAAAAACTTTTTCGAATCGCCAAAAATCCTTCTCACAAACATTGTTATTATGCAAAATGAAGCTATTTGCAAAATTTCAACCAAATCGGATTTGACAGGTTTTCGGAAAAACAGCTGTGTTAACCACATTGTTACGTAATCGCGGTAGATTATGCAATGGAATACAACGGATATCAACAACTGTTTTTTTAATTACATTATATATTTCTACGGTTTTAACCATTTTCTGCTCTAATAAAGTGTTGATTTTCACCTAACGGCCATACGACTTAGGACTACTACCGGTTCTCGTCCGATCACCGAAGTCAAGCTAAGTTCGGCGCGGATAGTACTTGGATGGGTGACCGCTTGGGAACTCCGCGTGCTGTTAGTTCTTTTTTTTCTTAAATTAAAAAAAATTTAACAACCGTATTCGATAAAATTCTCTTCTATTTAATTTTAAATACAATTAATTAATTCTTTATTACCAGGACTGAATTAAAATTTCTGGGGCTATTAAACATTCGACGGCCCCTCTTGGTTGATAACCTTGATTCAAAAATTGAAATTTATTATAAATAAAAATAAATAATAATTAATCATAAAGAAAAAGAGCAACACAAAAAATTTGCATTTGATATTTTTTAACATAGTAAATGGAAAGTTTATAAGAAAACCCCCTAAAAAGTGAGGCCCAGGGTTATAGCAATTCTTCCGAAGTAGACTTTCCTTTTGTACTTTCTATTCTAGTTTCTTTATTTTCTTCCACTTTTTCTCTTTTTCATTTTTGACTTAAAATAAAATTAATATAACGAACCACTATATTTCCTTATGATTATTAGACAAATATGTAATAAAGATAAATCAGTAAAAAAAAAATTGTCAGAAATATTCTATACTTATGTATAAATTAATTCAAAGTTCAGAATTTCTTTAATACGGTGTCTCGGCAGTAGAAGGTTAAGCATTCTATCAATAAATTTATTAACCATCACACTGCTGTAACATAAATTACATCGTTTTACAGGAAATTTATTTCGCAACATCTTCGTCCGTCAAATTCATGAGGACGTTCAAACGATGGCAATTTACCTAGAAATTTTCTGCGGAATCGCAGCCCTATGTTTGGCGTTTTACTATTACTTCATCACAGTCCTCGATTTTTGGAAAGTTCGAGGTGTTCCCGGACCACAACCAATCCCAGTACTGGGTAACATCAAGGATGTTATGTTAATGAGAATGTCGATGAGCGATTACTTGAAGAAAGTTTACGATGAATACAAACATGAACCTATGGTCGGAATATTTACCAGAAAAACGCCTATATTACTTCTTCATGACCCAGAACTTATTAAGGACATTCTGATAAAGGACTTTTCTAAATTTGCTGATCGAGGACTTCCTGTTCACGAAAAGGTATACATATTAGCAAATAAATTACTGCGACGATTTGTCCATGAGGGCTACAGGCTGCCAGAATATTATATGTATATTCATTTAGAAATCTTTTTAAATAATGATCTTTAGATTTATTAATGATATAATTTTTTTAATCCATTTTGATCTTGTTTTCACTTTTATTACTGCAGCCCCGCCATTGCAAACATTTACGAGCCTCCATTGCTGTGGAGTTTTTGACTTCTAATTCGAAAATACTGCGTTAAGCATGCCATCTTATGATATGACCCGTTCGTCTCATTTACTATCTTATATCACCTGTTCGTCGTGCTTGCCATCTTATGATGTCATCTGTCCGTCGCGTTTGACATCCTACGATGTCATCCGTGCTGAAACTGTTAACGACTAGTCAATAGTTTTACTGCTACTCTATACGTTGAGCATGCTTATACATATGTATGTGATGTCATCCGTCCGTAAGGTTTGACATCTTATGATGGCATCCGTGATCATGATATTAAACCTATGATGCTGGTCACCGATGACCCTCAATGTGTTAAATATATAAGAATGACAAATTAATTTGAAAAATAATTACAGGCAGAACCCCTATCTCCGCATATCTTCAATCTAGAAGCAAAAAGATGGCGACCGCTAAGATCAAGACTCTCACCAGTCTTCACATCAGGAAAAATAAAAGATATGTTCCCACTCATATTAGAATGCGCTGATCATTTGGAACAATATCTAGAGAAGGTTGTTGCAAGAGGAGAGCCCGTTGAATGTCGCGAATTAACAGCAAAATACACAACGGATGTGATTGGTAGCTGTGCCTTTGGTATTGAAATAAATGCGATATCCGATGAAGAAAGCGAATTTCGTCGAGTGGGTAGAACGGTATTTGCTATCAATTGGAAGCAACTTCTGCGATTCCGAGCTAGACAAATGTTTCCACGACTGTACAATTGGCTCGGTTATATACTACCACCGACAGAGATAACGACCTTCTTCACTAAGGTCATCGTAGACACGATAAAGTACAGAGAAAATAATAATGTTACCAGACCTGACTTTGTTAATATGCTTATGGAACTCAAGAAACATCCAGATAAATTGGAAAATATTAGTAAGTAGAATGTAATAATTTAGAGTTGTGCTATAACACAAGTCTGTCCATGACATTCAAGGTCATATTACGATACATAATATAGTCATAATTAAATACATTTCAATGTCATTTTTTTGAGGGTTAAAAAAAAATTGTTTAGAAAAAAATATCACTATTAGCATGGGTGTGGTTGAACTCATGACTGTTAGTAAAATATCAGGAAATATGAGTTCGAGACAGGGCCGAATTAAGATTTCTGGGCCTTCGGAGCTATTAAACCTTCGAGGGCCCCTCTTAATTAATTAACTTAATTCGAAAATTGAAATCTATTCTAAATAAAATTAAATAATATTTAAGGGCTACAGTAAAGAAAAAGTTCATTCAATATTTTTTAACATAATAAATGGAAAGCATATAACGGGACCCCGTACAAAGTGAAGCCCAAGGTTGAAGTATACATACACCTCCCCTTAATTCAGCCCTCCTTTGAAATGAATTCGTCTTCATAGCTTAATCTTCATATCAACTTTTTTTGTATCTTTATAAATAATAAAATATTTAAGACTCAAGTATCGAACGCCCATTTTTAACGCGATTTTTGAAAATTGATTTAATAAGAGTCACTATTAGCAATTATTAAACCATAAGCTGAACATGAGTGGCCTTTGATATTTGCATTCAAACATATTTAAAATAATAATCAGAATTTTTATGAACACTTTTACTGAAAATTAAATGTTTAATTTTTACAAAAAAATTTTGACTGTTTTTTGATCAAAAAAGTTATTTATTTTTAACATAAAAAAGGTAGATACATGGATCATAATTACACTTCTAACACCATAAAATGCTGAGATTTTTAAATCATAATATAATGAAGTTGAACACAGCATATACATAAATTTTATAATATTTTGACACCTGATTTTTCAGAGTTAACAGATAGTTTACTGACTGCTCAAGCTTTCGTTTTCTTTGTCGCTGGTTTTGAAACCTCTTCAACAGCAATTAGCAATGCTCTGTACGAATTAGCCTTGAATCCTGAAGTACAGATTAAACTGCGACAAGAAATCAGGGAATTTTATGATAAAAATGATGGCAAATTGAAATATGATGAAATAAAGGATATGGCGTATCTGGATTTAGTGTTTAAAGGTACATAGCTCCTGACAGTAAATATCTTTTCAAAAATGTAATCTTTATTTAACTTTCTATCTCATGTAATACTAATTATTATACATTTTGTCAAATATTTCAAAAATTGGAAATTTGAAAAAATTTTTCCTTGCCATTTAATTATATGTATATTTAGTTCAATCTAAATAATTCTTTTTGCAGAAACCTTAAGAAAATATCCACCTGGACCACTCTTATTGAGAAAGTCAATATGCAATTATACTTTTGAAGGTACAAAGGTCACGATACCAAAGAAAACATTTGTGTGGGTACCAATATATCCTATTCATCGGGATCCTGATATTTACCCAAATCCTGATGCTTTTATTCCTGAGAGATTTACTGAGGAAGCGGTAGCGAGCAGACACCCTATGCATTATTTACCCTTTGGTGATGGGCCAAGGAATTGCATTGGTGCGTATAAATATTCTAGTACTATTTAAGTATTATAAAAAGATACATTAGATATAGGAGAAAGCAGGGTAAAGGTGGGTGCTCAATATATTTATTTTCGTAACAAAAACAATGAAATTGTTTTGATACATTGAATTTATTTTTATAATTTAATTTGAGTATTTAAAAATTATTCATAAGAACTTTAATATGTACTTCTCTAATCATATTTTTTTTATTATAATTTTAATGATATTCATAATATTATTGATATATGTTACAGGAGCACGATTTGCAGTCTATCAATCCAAAGTTGGACTTATAAAAATACTTCGTAATTACAAAATTGATGTTTGCGAGAAAACTATGATTCCTTATCAAATTGACCCAGCCGCTTTCTTATTGGCGCCGAAAGGAGGAATATATTTAAAAATAACAAAAGTAGAGAGTTAATATAAAATTTAAGTAACAAAAGAAATATTATAGTATTTATAATATATATTTTTTACTTCTAATTTTAAGGATCTAAAATACTATCGGAAAACAGTATTTCCGAGATGTATATACTTTTTATTTATAATTAATAGACAATTTTGTTAAATTGAGAGCCAGTCTAAAACAATGATATAAATTATTAAATAAAAACATAACGAATTTGTCTTTTGTTTTATAGTGTGATTAGATTATTAGATATTCCGAATTTTTTTATAATATAATATTATTTATAAATAAATTGTATACTATACCACAGTTCACCAGAGTCCATAACTACGACGCGCAGGTTGGAAGATGGTGGGGGAACGCAGCGAGCTCTCTGCTAATCGCTTTCCACTTCGTTTGGGAGTATCGCCAATCAGGGCGAAAATGCGTACTGGAGATGCGCAAAGAACTAAAACTGGTCTTTTCGCAGTTATGGACTCTGGTGAACTGTGGTATAGATAAATTATTTCAGATTGCAATTTTACATATTCCCATTGTTTTTGATTATAAGGAAAAATATTTAGAGATGGAAGTATTGTGCAGAGATAGAAAGAATATTAGCGGAAGGAATGCAGGTACCATTGGTTGTAGTCGGTAAGTCACATCTCACGCACACGTATTCTAGATCGTCGCGTGTTATTGGCCGATGCGATCACATATTAATCGCGTCGCCTGACAAAGAAGAAAAATGAAACTCAAATTTGGGGACAGGGCGGAGCGTGCTTAGTGCTCCCTTTGCCCTTGTACCGTCTCGCTAATATTCTTTCCATCTCTGCACAGTATTTATTTCAAAGGCCCAAATATAATAGCAATGTTTTTTGTAACCAATAAATGTATCATTTGTATTTTTTTAGGTATGAAAAACATTGAGTTGGTTCAATTAAATGGAATACTCTGTATTTAGTGAAATTTAAAAAAATTTTATAAATCTATTGCATGGTATTCTGACGTTTATCAAAAATTAATTAACTTATAATTTTTTGAATAATTCTTGAAATTATTTAAAAATTATTATTTTTATTTTTACAGCAAATAAGTTGTTACGTAGATATATTAAACCACCTAAGAAATATTGATGATCTTAAAATCTTGATAAACATTGTTGTTACTATCTGAATTCAAGTTCAAAATTTGAAGAAATGGCTTACACTTATTAATTCTACATAATTTATATGTATAACTTAAACAATGCTTAGTTAATAAACATGTTTATTATACTTTTATTTCTTGATGGATAAAATAAAAATTCAATTATACTTTCCATAATCCATGTTAAATTATTAGTTGCACTTTTAGGCAGAATAATAAATAATGTAAAACATGTCCAATGAACAAATAATTTTTGTATCATTTATTAATTATCACCGTTAAACATTTTTTGTTGTTAATATAATTTCTATTTAAAAAGAGTAATTTAAAGGTAATAAACATAAAAAAATTGAAATTAACGTTATATCATGAAACTTTCATTACTTTACTGTTTATATAATGTTTATAATTTTCAAAAACCATTTGCAACTACATAAATAAGGGCATAATTAATTCTAAAGTAACGCGTTCATTCTAAACCCCTTTAGAAGTGACAGATCAAATTAGGTCAATGTGTCACCACAGAAACACACGTGATCACTATACATCACTTTCCACTGCTTTTACATTAAATATATTTCCTTCTAGAATAGAATCTTTTTAATTATATAATCGTTCATAATTTAAAAATTCAAAATTCGTAGTTTTCAGTTAATATGTATATACAAATACAATCATGTGTTAGTAGTATCGAGTCTTTTTAATGAACTCATTCTCGCAGTTAACTTCTGGATTGTAGTCACTGATTGTAGGAAAGAGGGACGCTAAATAACCTAGCGGCCGTGAGGTTAGGTTCTATGAATCTGTATCGTCCAGTTGTGCGTCGGAAGAAGGTGCGAGGTGATCGTTATGACATCACCGTGGGAACGTTAATTCTAAAACACGAATATAAAGGATGCAGATCATCAAGAAACGAGTCACTCGATGTAGGCGACGTACACCTGCATCATTCAAATCGTGCAACTTAGTGTTGTATACCGAATTATTCACTATCGTACTTAGATAGTCCGGTTTTCTTATCATATTATAAGTCAACCTTCAACAACAAACACTCCAAGTCCTTCCTTCTATTCCTAATGATTCCTCCGAACTAGTCATCTCCAAACCTTGACCTCATGACCTCATCCCCTACTGATTGCTGGACTCACGTTAACTCCCAGCTTCCTATTTTTTCGATCCTATAAAATACCTAACATTTTTCCCTCCAGGGGCAGATTTTTCCGAACCAACTTAGGACTAGAGTCTACTTTTGTCACGACGAATATTGTATTAAAAACTTCGGTTGTATTTCGCGTTGTGATTAAAATAAATAAGTATCGCGAGTGGAATACAACATTAGTCACTACATAAATTCATTCAGGACTGTCATACTAAGGAAACTGGATATTTAACACCATGGAGCATGAAAGCAAGGGTTTCGATGATATGCCACACAGATCAAAACGGAAACCAATCAATTCGAACGAAGAATTAGAGAACTGGATGACTCGGCTTCCGACAGCTCTGAGAAACGTACCCATAATACATTTGGCGATACCCGGTACGTTTGAAATATTTTTAGTCTCTATCAAACATATTTTATATTTAATCAGTTAATTTTTATCTAAAATATTTAATTGGAACTAATATTACCTTCTTATAAATTTAATTAGACAAAAATGAAAGTTTTCAAAATTTCTTTTAATTGATGGGGTTATACAATTGAAATTTATAAAACTACATTACCAACTGTATTTACTGTGTTATTAAGATCGTAGGTTATATTCTGAATGTTCAAGGCCGCATTTATACTACATCAACTATAAAATGAATACATGTAACGTCAATTGTTAATTTCTAACAGGTTCTCACAATACAATGACTTATACCATAATGAAAGATAATGATATCGGACCCGACGAGCCTAGATACATCAGAGCACTCGGCCGTTACTGTTCGATTGTCTCAAAACCTATTATTTTTAATTGGTCTATTACACAACACGATAACGTTAAGGAGCAGCTGAACGGCGGAATCCGATACTTAGATTTACGCGTGGCTACGAAACCGATGAACGGTGATATTTATTTTGTTCATGGTTTATATGGATCAAAAATATATCAGCCATTGCAACAGGTAGCAGAGTGGCTGTCATCGCACGCCAACGAGACTGTAATCTTAGATTTTCAACATTTTTATTCGTTTTCTGAAATGGACCATCGTCATCTTGTGGATACCATTCTTCAAATATTTCACTCAAAATTGTGCCCAACAGCTTCCACCTTTACTCATATAACACTAAATTGGCTTACTCTGGAAAGGTATCAGGTTATTGTTATTTACAGGAACATATATGCACAGAATTACTCCAACTTGTGGCCGAGTGGTCTATGGCGGACACCATGGCCTGATACTGCTCGCGTCAATGAACTTATAGATTTCTTGAATCGTGAACTCCAAGCACGTCCGTTGGGAATCGGTTTTATTTCGCAGTGTCTTTTAACGCCAGATATGCCTTTCGTGCTGAAACATTTATGTGGGACGCTACAAAGGAATTTAGCACCTGTATGTCAAAAACCAATTCTTTCTTGGATAAATCAAAAACAACCCGGCCGTGGTGGTTTGAATATCGTTATAGCCGATTTTATATCTGATACAAATTTTTTATTTTGTAAAACCGTTATCGAAAGTAACAAAAAATTTTTTAATTGATAGAATTCTATGTAAATATTTTGTACTTTATATAAATACTTGATTCTATTGTGATACATTGATTATTATGCATTTTGAATGCAAAAGTACACCATTTATTTTTACTTCTAATGAAGTATTTATTTATATTTGTAATAAGTAATATAATAAATTGTAGTTGAAATTACTTTAGTAAAAAGTTAAATATTTTAAGTTAAATCTTCGCATAACCTTTAAGTCTTCATAACAATTTATGTAATGAGTTGAATTCTAAATTTTGGCAATTTTTCAAATAAATACAATGCCAAAAATAAATTGAACTATTTGATACCTTAAAGACAATGATATTTTTGTGCAAAAAATATTAATCTACAATTACTAATAAAATATAAATACAGATTGACTAATAATAAATATTAAGCATACAAATTAATTGGATGTTGCAAAGATTTCATTCTTCTTTTGTAATATTTTTTTATTATTGAAATAAACGTCATTTATATTGTAATATTTTGTTGCGTGACTTTAGCAGGTTTTAACGTATTTGATACGTTCCTGTAATCGTCATCGTTACGTCACGAAAAATCGCGCATGCGCGAAAAAATCCCATCTAACATCACTGCCCTTTCCACTGTTGTCCCGCCAAATTGTTCAGGCTAGTCGCGCAAGCGCAAAATACTCCCCCCTTCCATTGTTAACGAGTCTGCATCTCTTGCTCCGCGGGTCTTGCCACTCAAGTTTCACGCTGATTGGTCAATTTTTAATTTTCAACAACGAAATGTGGCTAAACTACTGATTCCATCGAAAAATGTTACAGAACTTTTTACTTCGATTTTTCGTGATCTATCCAGCGGTGGAGAGGTCTTCAGGGTATTTTTTAACACCCTGTATATAAAACTTGAATATTAAAGAAAATATCAATAAAAAAAGCAGTTCGTCTCCTTTTTTTAAGTGCTTCGCAAGTTAATGTATTTCAAAGTATTAATGTATTAAAAATCAGAATTGAAACCATAGAATCGGGATTCGAACTGAATCTCCTTGTCTCTCAATTCTGCCATATTGCCATGGATAAGATTATATTATTTTATAGACTCGTTGATGCTGCTGCCACATGCTTAGGTGGCTTGAGCATCGAGCCGATAATGTAGAAATGACGGGAGCAGCCGAACGGAGGAGCTCGCACGGACACGTGGAGCAACACGCTTATGTTCCATGGATTCTGGAAACAAATGAAGTAGGGGAGTCACTGGGACGTCGTGGAGAGGGTAAAAATTTGTCCCACGTCCCACGATTCTGGCATCACTGCCTTATGGGAGTTTGCGTCTTCGAAAGAATTCACCGTTTTCTTACTCCCTCTAGGATATATTGCGGCCGCGGTAAGAAACAAAACCCCAATCATTCAGTTTGCTGGTAAGATATTCTCGGGGCCACTGCCCCGAATGCAGAATTGTATTGAATGATTATCATGTGATATGAGATAATATATTATCTGGTCGGTGTTATTATTATCTCTCCGGTAATTTGAGTTAAAGGCACAGACATTTCGGAGACATTTTTTAAGACGTAAAATATTTGAAAAAAATAATATTAAGGGCAAATCATGATGGAAATGTTTTTCATAATAAGGTTGGTACGAAATTTTTATTTAACCCTTTCGCTACGACGAGCGACTATAGGCGCTCTCTCTTTTGCATAGTCCGCATCTCTCTGGATTTGCAGTTTGAATATTTTATTGAGACGACAAAGGATTATCGGAGTAGCTTCGAGAAATCTGACTGTATTGTAAATACAAAAAGATGGCAATTCATTTGTAGGAAATTAAGTATCGCGAAGGAATGTTCAAATTTTTACGTTTAAAAAGATCGTATTATTATTTTCTTACAATCAGTAATAATTAATAGTGGTCTTCCACACCACCTTTGAGGTTCCACTAATGGCGCGTTAAATTTTATTATAGTGGATCTTCGCCTGGAGCCCTATTATACCACTTTTTATTATTATAATTATTAAAAGGACTAAATCACTTGCTTTGTTATTAAAAATTGTCAGCCCACGTAATATTGCCTCTGACTGTATGAAAAATTGTTCGCGTAGTATGTCAAAAAATGTTTTGTACGTGCTAGAGCACGGCCTGTAGGAGAGCTGGTCTCCGTGAGATTCCGAACACCGAAGTGCGAATCTCGATTGACTCTAGTTGGTAGGACCCGGTTTCGTTATGCGTCATTCGGGAATCATGGACGCACGGATGCGTAATTTGCGGATACGTTGCGACGTTGACCGCCCGAGAACCTCCGCACGAGAGGGGTGATTGTCAAAAAATATTCCTTCTTTCTTTATTCGTCGTGAAAGGCGAGGAAAAACTGTTAGGTTATTTACGACAAGCACGTGTTTACATTGGGACCAATCCGAGAGAAAACTAACAGACGAAAGGTCCTGCCTTGACTCGTATTTCGAGGCCGGTATATTTGCCGGTAATGTCACATCTCTGCATTACCCGTGTTTACCCCCTTAATGTGATTCCCGATTGTCATGTCGCGTTTTTCGCATCGACGGTTTCGTTCGTCGATTTTGCTGGTATGGTATGCACGGCGGGTGCCGGTTACGTTTCGAAACGGTGAAGTAATGAGTGGTGGAAACGCCCGCAATGTTTGCACCGCGACGATCTACATGGTTCGCGGTGGACACGAAGACAATTTCGGCATAAATTTTTTCGTTTAACGGCGTCCCAACGCTGCGATAAAGTTAATTTTCCGAATGCCGGGCAGTTAGGAACGAAGTGTTGCTGCTCGCAGTAAAAGCAAGCACCTGTAGTTACCGCGCGCTTTTTACGACCGGACCGACGTTTTCCTTCCGTCTCGGTCTTGGCGCGAACGGTGTGTTCCTCAAGCATGAGCAATCGCATCGAGGTATCGTTTATGAATTTATAAAATTGATCTAGCGTGGGAAAAGTGTCCAAGCTCAACGACTCTTCCCATTTTTCACGGATCTCTCTGGGCAGCGCTCTTTCGAGAATACAAATAACTAGAACGCTATCGGGAGTGACTCCTAACAATTGGAGCATATTTAGATGTCGGCGAACATCATTGATTATTTTCGCAAGCGAGTTGGATGTGACCTTAGTCGGTGCACGTATGTCGAGAATGGCGTTTAAATGCAACGATACGAGAATACGCTGCTTCCCGTACGAGTCGATTAAAAGGCGCCACGCGTTTTGATAATTTTCCCCGCTCGAGTCAAAAAGTAAAATCTTATTCAGCGCCTCGCCAGTAAGTGAATTTTTCAAATACCAAAATTTCACCGAATCGTCAATGTCCGTGCGCTCATCGATCATCGCCATGAAAGTGCTTTTGTACGAAACCCACTTGTCTAAACTTCCGTCGAATTTCGGTAATTCCGCTACCATTGGTTTCACGGTGCGGCACCCTTTTATCAAAGTTGTGTTTAGGTTCGCGTTGCCGAGCGTCTCGTTAATTCGCGCTGTCGATGTACCGGCGACTTCCATCGATTCGATATTACCCGCGATTTCGTAGTATCGATCCTGAATTTCTAGAATATCGTTTTGTCGCTCGTTACTTGGATCGATAATCTCGAGCTCGTCATGTAATTCTTCGCACTCGGATAGCAATTTGGTCACCGAATTCAGTCGCATTTTGAGGTTAGTTTTGTCATACAGATTCGATGCGACGCAGTTCGCAAGGTGCGTGATCTGCGTTTTAAGTGTTGTTTGTTTTTGAGTGAATACTTTAACTGTATCCATCGTAAGAAAGTATTCGCACGCACCGTATACGCAATTACTTTTAAAAATTAATTATTCGAAATTATTCGGTAATTAAACGATCAAGAAATATAGCTAGGAACACTTATTCTTCTGATGCTGATAGACTCCGTCGGCAGCAAGCGGCAGGTGGGCGAGAGATCCCCGTGTGACGATGGAGATGGCTGTTTTGAACTTCTCGATGATCGTCTTCGATAGAGTCCGATGCGTATAAAGGAGCACTGCTATGTCTCTGTATCACTATGTCACTTCACTTATTAAGAATTCCGATGGAACCGTGAGCACACAACGATATAAAATAGTTCCGATAACGTGATAGAAAATGTCTTGCTTGTTCTGCCGCGTGTTTCCACGTTCACAGTTAGAGCACGACTGACCCTCATTGACCGTTTGTGGCCCTTTCTTTAAAGGACTCACCCCCCTCCACCACGAAGGGAAAGCGCCCAGACTTCGAAAAATTTTTCCACAGGAAGGAAAGCACCCTAACGGTTTACACATGGCTCGTTTCGACCGTTCTTTAATAAATTATAAACCTATAGTATATGTACATGAAAATCAAACTTAAAACACAGTTGGGGCATTCCATGCGAAATCGGACACCTTTCGGAGCATCATGTTGGATTTTGCTCAAATTGAGATATGTTGTAGTTTTTAGTGATATATAAACGTGTCTCGAAGGATTTAAAAAAATTTTTCAAATTGTGGATTTTACAGCTGTTTGAAACATAGTACAGGTAGCCCTCCTACAACACGGCATCCTATAACACGGTTTCGCTCTAACACGATAGGATAAATTGCGGGAACCCTCGTATTGCACTGCAACCTATAACACTGTTTCGCTCTAACACGATAAGAAAATTGAGAAAATCTTTTTACAACACTGTACTTCTACAGCACTAGATAACATGATTTTTGTTTAACATATTTAAAAACTAAATTACTTAATAATAATAACGGGAAAGAATAATGAACTATAGTGCCTTTACATGAAAATATATAATTTATACACGCTTCGATTAAAGCGCGAAATTATTAAATTAGTTTTTTTTAGATACGACATGAAAGTACTAGACATGATGTGGTCTTCTCTGTGAATAGGCCGCATATGCGGTAGTTCTTCCAGGGAAGCATCGGACTATCCATGAAAATATATAAATAAATATTAATTTACTCATTTATAACTCTATTCCGATGTTATAGCGGAAAGCGTCATGCACAATTTATACGCCATTCGCGGCGAGACTTGCCGTCTCATTGTAAGTAGTAATGAGGAAGAATTTTAATAAATTAAGGATACATTAAATGAAAATAATATATATTTTTTTTTTTTTTCGTTTTGTGTTATATTTTTAATAAAAATTAAGTTGCTTATATGGAATTAAAAAAAAAATGTTTGTTTTTAATAAGTTCTCGGAACGTAACCCCCCTTTTTGTATTAGCTCTGGGTCTCATATAACACGATTTCACACAACACGGCGTTTTCTAGGAACCTATCTACCGTGTTATAGGAGGGCCACCTGTATTATATTTATTTTATGAATATATATGAGTATAGTTAAGTATTCGAAATGGTCTGATTAGGTTTTTACTGGGTTTCCCTAATCCTCGCAACAAATGTAGGACCATGTGTAATTCCCAGAGAAGGCAAAGAAGGATGGTTATTAATAAATATAAAATTTATCGAAAATAGTATTATAGAAACGAGCAAACTTTGTAACGTGTTTATTAAGTTAAATTAAACTCCGATTCGTTTTTGAGGAGGCGTGTTGGAATATTCAACAATGTATGTATGTATTTTATTTTCTTGGGCTCTGCCCAAGATGGCGCTTCAGGGGGCAAGCGCCCCCTATATTGCCTTAATATTCAACAATAATCCTTATACAGAAATGAATCGTTGAGAACCACTGTCTTTTGTGCATCTACGATAGCCTGACTGGCACCATCAGGTCTAAGGGCCTGTGACTGTTTACTTTTCGAGGCCAGGGTAATAAACACGGTATAGACGAAGTTTCTTTCTTTAAGTGGACGGCAGATTTCCTTTCGGCGGTCGATGCGTTGCCTCACTTTCAGTTTGAATTTCACAGAGTGAATATCCTTCAAAGCCAGTTAAGAAATAAATTTAAAGTAGTAAAAAGAAAATTAAAAGACTATAATTATTTACCCCATAATCCAATAGAATTTTTCATTGCAAAATGGAGTTTTAAAAAATTTGGAAAGTTTATAAATATTTTTATTTAATAGAAATTATCAAATGACCACGTTTATATTTTTACAGTATTAGTGTCTTGTTGTGATTATTAATCTGTAATTTCTTCAGATTTTTTGAAGTGGAGGAACATAGTTGAAAAAATTAAAAACCGATAATTGTTTATATTATTACTTTAATTGTTCATATGACCATGTTCATATTTTTACAATTTTAATCCTTAGCTCGTTACAATTATTAATATACCATTTTTCCAGATTTTTTATAGAGGTGTATCACATACAAAAAAATTATAAAGCCATATTTCCTAACTTTTCGTTCGCAGAGGAGAAACATATTCGTAATATTTTTATTTCATCAAATGGTCATCATATGCAGGTTCAGAATAGTTTAACATGTATCAAATGATATAAAACTTAAAACATTGCCAATTCGTACGGATATTGACTGTTGATTGTGGAATGATTTTGTGAATAATTGTAATTCTGTATCCAGGGTGATTTTCTCGCAGCCGGACACAAAGGAACTGGCGACAATGAACCCCTTGACCACACCATGAAGAGGTCCGTACAAACACACGTACTACACACACAGAGTCGTCTCGGCTCGGGTAGGTCAAATTAAATAAGGGTGATTCTCTCGCTACGCAAGACAGAAGCCGTGCCGCACAATCGAACCCTGCTGTTTTTGCAGGTAAAGAGACCCAGGGGCCATATCGCCGGACCCAAGACTGCTCTGTGTGTGTTTATGGCTGAGACGAAGACAAGAAACGGAACAGCAGGGCTTCCATTGTGCGGCACAGCTTTTGTCTTGCGTAGCGAGATAATCACCCTGTAGAAGAGAATTTTATCGAATGTGGCTGTTAAATTTTGTTTGATTCAAGAAAAAAAAAAGAACTAACAGCACGCGGAGTTCCCAAGCGGTCACCCATCCAAGTACTATCCGCGCCGAACTTAGCTTGACTTCGGTGATCGGACGAGAACCGGTAGTAGTCCTAAGTCGTATGGCCGTTAGTTGAAAATGAAGACTTTATTAGAGCAGAAAATGGTTCCAAACCGTAGAAATATTATAAAACATTTAGTTGTTGATATCCGTTGTATTCCATTGCATAATCTACCGTGATTACGTAACAATGTCAAGTAGAAACATGACACTTGAGGCACGAGATAATATGATCTGGGAACGGATATATCAATGAGATAATACTAATGCAACGACTGAACTTTGTTATTTTTCATTTTTTTCTTATAAAACTTTTACCAATATATTTGTGACGTTTTTCTGATTAAAATGATACCAAATACGATATGGTTTAGACAATTTTTACTTATAATAGTGTTTGCTATTTCTGAACTGTGTCTTCTAAACAAAAAAAAGAACCAAAAATAAAAAAGTACAATTATTGGTAGCTTCTATGCGCGCGAATACGCATTTGTTGTTCGTTTTTAACATTTGTAACTTTCTAAAACTTCAGAATATTAAGATTACATTACTTTCAAAAATATTCTATTTGACGGCACCAGAGAGATTATTTTTATTACATCAGTAAGTTAAAGGAGAAACAGCATGCACCAAACCGAAACTCCTCGCCTATAGGAGTTTCTTTCAAGAAACGAAGAAATATTGTCCGAGCCGTAGCACGTTGTGGCATGCAACGAGGCAACGTCTGCCTCTTCAAAAGGGTTCGGAACGGTAATAGGATACGGGTGTTTGGTACAAGTGGATACTCGGCTTAATAAAATTGTTTCGCAAAATTTTGAGTCTTAGCCTTTGAGTCGCCAAAATTCTTTCTTGCTATTTGCTATTTGCAAAATCTCAGCCAAATCTGGTTTAAAAGGTTTTCGGAAACTTCGCAAATTCTTTTTATATAAAATGAAATTATCTGCAAAAATATCAGTAGAATCACATTTGACAAATTTTTGGTAATACAGCTGTGTTAACCACATTGTTACGTAATCGCGGTAGATTATGCAATGGAATACAACAACAATTAAATGTTTTATAATATTTCTACGGTTTGGAACCATTTTCTGCTCTAATAAAGTCTTCATTTTCAACTAACGGCCATACGACTTAGGACTACTACCGGTTCTCGTCCGATCACCGAAGTCAAGCTAAGTTCGGCGCGGATAGTACTTGGATGGGTGACCGCTTGGGAACTCCGCGTGCTGTTAGTTCTTTTTTTTTCTTGAATCAAACAAAATTTAACAGCCGTAATCGATAAAATTCTCTTCTACAGGGTGATTATCTCGCTACGCAAGACAAAAGCCGTGCTGCACAATGGAATCCCTGCTGTTCCGTTTCTTGCCTTCGTCCCAGCCATAAACACGCATAGAACAGTCTTGGGTCCGGCGATATGCCCCTGGGTCTCTTTACCTGCAAAAACAGCAGGGTTCGATTGTGCGGCACGGCTTCTGTCTTGCGTAGCGAGAGAATCACCCTGTATTTAATTTGGCTGTAGTGCCGAATGTCCTCGGTCGCGGATCGACATGAAAAGGTATAGCCGGATAAGGGAATCAAAAGTGCCCTTAGACCAAATTGATCAATGAACATCAATTAATAGACCGTTCGAAGAAAATCATTTGTGCTAAGTATGAAACCGCTACCCATACTTGAAGGAAAGTTACAGGGCGAAACGCAATATACAATTTAAGCTTTATATCTTTCGTTGTATTGTATAAAAAATTTTGAAAAAAATCAGGGATATTCTGCTCTATACCTACGTGTTTTTAAATTTTTCATTGCAAAATGGATTTTTAAAAAATTCGGAAAGTTTACAAATATTTTTTTTAATAGAAATTATCAAATGACCACGTTTATATTTTCACAGTATTAGTATCTTGTTATGATTATTAATCTATAATCTTTTCAGATTTTTTGAAATGGAGGATTAGAGTTGAAAAAATTAAAAACCGATATTTGTTTATATTATTACCTTAATTTTTCATGTGACCATATTCATATTTTTACAGTTTTAATAGCTGTTACAAATATTAATATATCATTTTCTCAGATTTTTTAGAGGTGTATCACATACAAAAAAATTATAAAGTGTGGAGGAATTTGGATAATGAGTGACGTCTAGGAGGCGATTGAAACTCAGGTACCCTGAGTTACATTGAACTTGTCGCAGTGAAGTTGGCTACAAATTCACTGCGACAAGTTCAATGCAGCTCAGTGGTTTTCTAATAGTCGTTCGCTCTTTATTTTAGTTAATCTTCAAGCACGCGTGTACTGTGTCCGCTGCCACTGAGCCATAATATTTATGTGCATTCCCCTTCGACAAACGGGGGAAAGGGGGGAAAGAGTCGCCGTAACCCGCACAGGTAGAAATACGCGGGAAGTTTATCCTACAAAAGCGATATTTCCTAACTTTTCGTTCGCAGAGCAGAAACATATTCGGGTAATTAATATTTTTATTTCATGAAATGGTCACAATAGTTTCAGAAGCAGGTTCACAATAGTTTTACATGTATTAAATATGTTAAGATTTGAATCTGAATTACATTTGGTTATGAACTATCAATATTCTCAGTAGATCTTCGAATTCTCTGTATCTGGACCTAAAAAATATTATATGTTAGATCTTTATTATCAAATATTCGTCTAGAGGGAGTGGGGCGAACACAGTGTGTACGCGAGCACCTCGAAAATTCGGCAACGCCGGGGGTTTTCCATCCAGGTTGACCCTCGAAGGTTGGAGTACCGTTACGATTGCCAATTGCTAAACCCTTCGGAAAAACTCAGTTTATGACATGAACGGACCTATTGAGGACAAACCGAAAATTAAATTCTGACTCTATTGTTGTTACGCGGCATGGCAGCTTTCACAAGTATATTGCACCAATTCGGAAAACACGATCGGTCATATTTAACATGGTTCTTAAAAACTACCCTAAGCTGGCCGGAGTGGTAGTTCATCACGTATTAATGAAATTACCACCCAGGGCTTAGAAGGTTCCAAACCATAAACTCAGAACATTCATTCCCACTGCCTAAACAAAGGCCCAAAACTTCTTCTCTTCCGGGTCTTAGACGGACCCTGTGTGATGCATGTGTCTGCGCAGTCCAAAAGTCGGTCCCAGGCACCAACGGTCACCTTGACCATGAAACCATTCATTCATTTATTGCCTGGGGTACAACCGATCCTTCAAAACCAAATGGTTCCCATGTGCATCGCGGCTGTTAGGTTCGGCTGGTTCGCTGCAGCTCCTAACTGACCGTTCTTGAGACCCGGGAGAGGGAAAATAAAAACTAGAGACAAAACATGAAACGCAGGACACTTCTTGTCGATCCTCTGACCAGATCACTTCGTTCGTATTCTAAAGCCTCCGTTGAGACTCCGATCAGTTTACTTCATAAGCATTCGTTAACTCACATATACGAACAACTGTTAACACTCGAGTCAGAGTAACTCATAATATCATTAAATCCTTGTGCAAGCATCAAACACATCTAAACATCACAAGCAGTCTATAATTAATTACAACCTTACCAACCCTATCTCCTTAATCGGTCGTAGGGTAGTACGCGATTCGCGGCGTCGATAGAAATCGTAACGAGGATTTACGACCCTTGTTGACTGGGTTCTGAACGCAACCGTTAGTCTCGTCGTGAATGTGTACTCGAAAAACAATTGTACAAAAAGGTAAAAGACTATTGCCTGAACTACGAAAACATCTTGATTTAAAAATAGCTTTTCGTCGAAGAACTATCATAAACTTCCTTTAGAAATCCTTGCGCCTGTGTTCCGTTGAATGGGCAGAACATACAGGGTGATTTTCTCGCAGCCGGACACAAAGGAACTGTCAACAATGCACTCCTTGACTGCACCATGAAGAGGTCCGCATTGTCACGTGCCAGCGGGGACCTACCCGGGCCGAGACGACTCTGTGTGTGAAACTAATTTACAAAACTTCAGCCAACTTCGATTGGACAGTTTTTGGGAAATTTAACCATTCCACTATTTTAAAGTAGAGAAGGGCACCTAAATGATAAAAAATTTTTTCTCGAGCCGCCAAAAATCTTTCTTGGAATCATCATTTTTATTAAAAAGAAACCTATTCCCAAAATTCCAGCCAATTTGGAGCATAGAGGTTTTCGGAAATACAGCTAATTTTAGCATAGAACGTTACCAACATTAGATAAAGCGATAATCAAATAGCGTGCACATTACCACCGACGAGATACTGTTTTCCATCGAAAATACTACTGGGAATACTACTGGAAATGCACTTTTTGGCGGAATGGCTGAACAGATGTAGGGATCGCTACACTATTTTTAGAAAATCGGTCGATAGGTTGTTGAGTAGTTTCCGACGTTTTTGTATAGATAGCGCTGTGGTCGAATTTAACAATGTTTAATTTATGGCGGTTTTTTTTTAACACGAATACAAGTTTGATAAACGATTATTTTAATAATTTTTCGACTTTGTGCTGATTTTGACTGATTCCTAAAGGAATAGAATCAAAGAAAGTCAAAATTGTATTTTTACAGTTGTCAATGCAAGGTGTGGTAAAACAGAGACTGGTAATACAAACACGATTTTCATACCAACTGTGTTTCCTACATGCGGACTCTGGCGCTTTGTAGGGGCTTTTTAGCCCCTCTTTTGCCCAACGAACGTTTTGTCAATTATTTGCATTACTTTTCTTTTACATTGCGTTGCCTTCTTCGTTTCGTTATTCATTTCGCTCATTCGCGTTCCGTCTTTCCTCGGTTGCCAACAGCACACGGTTACGCGATCACCCATCTTTGACGTGAACCGTGCCCACCTAGCTTGACTTCGGTGATCTTACATAAATACCTGGGGTCGTCTGGGACCCCCAAAATTATGACCAATCGAGAACAATGGAATCTCTAGTCTTTTTGCATTTGTGGTCACTGCTAATAGCATATGGTTGGTTTCGCGTAATTATGGATTTAGATGTAAGTATCAAAATGCATAGATCAATTCTGGAAAATCTAATCATATTCCATTCATAGTAATGATACGCCTGAATGAATGGCAAGAGAGAAAATATTTTAATTCAAAGAATACCTTCCTGAAGAAGTGGCGCGACGATAGAGTCGACAAAATTAGTAACGAACATAAGGGTGGATGAGTGTGACCTCTAGTGTCTCATTGTGCTCGTAAAATACGAAGTATTATTGAAGTTTTTAACGATATTTTCTTAATAGTTTATACTGTGAAGGACAATTAATGCTGTGAATCGTTCGATCTCAGCACGTCCGTCTGGTCGCATGTACGAGCAAGAAAACATGATCTGTTCGCCATAACCAAACTGCGATCGTGCCGTTCTTTACAGCTCCATCTCTCAATAATTTATGGAAACCTGATAGATAACAATATCAATAAATAACGATAGCAATTAAAAATATCATCGTACAAATTTAAAGCCTAAAATGCAACATCAATGTCAAGGTTATTCTATGTAATTGACGCTCTGAAGTAAGCCGTTCAAAGATGTACGAAAATCTGTTCAAGAATCCTCTTCATCGTGTATTCGTGTACGGAACACTAAAACGGGGCGAACCGAATCATAGTTTGATTCAGGATGCAGCAAATGGATACGCGAAATTTCTGGGAATTGGAAGAACCGCAACTCCATATCCCTTAATAATTGCTACCAGATATAACATACCATTTTTGTTGAAGAAACCAGGAATTGGTCACGTGAGTAATGCATGCGTTTGTTAAATAATAATGTCGATAATGTAGCCGTTACTAGAGAGGTTCCATTAGTTTCTAATAGATGGTAAAACGTCTGCTATACATTGGCGGAGGTTCGTATTGTTTACATGTCCCATTATCTGCATAGAATTTATGTTTGAATTTGCCCTATCCTAATATTAATTAACTCGTGATTTTTTTTACATTAACTTGATATCTTGTTAAGAACCTTAAGGTTTTTAATGTTCATCATTAGTTAACATTCCCTGTTTGCTCAACTGAATGTTTGAAGTTATTTCGTGCTTCGTGATTTGTGTAATTTCTTTCGAATTGAAGTACACTTTGGGACAAAGTAGGCTTTTCTTGATTAAGAGGGATTGTAGAGAGAAGCATCCACTATTTGTCTTTGAACTTGAGAGAGTACTGAAAAAATTGATGGAGAGATCGAGAAGAGCCTCATCTAAAACCTTCGCTCCTTACACACGAGACAAATGGCGGAACACTTCTCTCACAGTTCCTTTTAAATAAAGAACGCCCAAGTTACACGAGATTATATATGTCAAACTAATTTCACCTTCGTTTATGCAGCTTGTCTTTGGCGAAATATACGATGTTGATACAAAGATGTTAAAAAAACTGGATGAACTGGAAGAACATCCAGCGTTTTACGAAAGATTTCAAGAAGATATACTTTGGGCTACCGAGGCGAAGGCCAAATCAGCCACTAACTTCGACGAGGTAATTGCCCCTGGAGATACATTATCCACAGAGAACTTTTATTAAATTGCTCTGTTTAATTTAATATCAAATTTATTCTCAGGTCGGTATCTTGACAAGGGTCTGGATATATTTTCTCCCAAAGTTTAAGGCGTCCCTATTGGAAGGACCCATGTACAGCTCATATAGTAACGAAGGAAACCATGGACTCAAGTATTGCGAAAAGTATGTTCGTGATACCTCGTACGATCACAGAAAAGAAGTTCAATGATAGTGATCCCCAAAACTATGTATTTCTTTCCAGCGATGAGAGTACGATAAGACCAGAAGATCTGCGTTGACCAAGCGTTTTTACGAACCCCCCTCATTATCTACCCCGAGTCAGATGATCGTGGCTACATTATATTATTATTTGTGTTAATTAATAAAAAGTCGTTCGTTGATTCAAATTGCTGGAACATAATCCTCTGCATTTCCATCGTGGAGTAATAACATTTTTTTGTCGATGAACTTCTTATATTCAACTTTAGATTGTAAGGCCATCGACTTTTGGATTGTAGAGGATTAACTCGTATTTTGTTCAGTTTTACCCTAACGTATAACAATCGAAACGATAATGAATAAAACGAATAAATTAATGAAATTATAATAAGGCGTTTCGGAATGTACAGTAGTGTCTGCCTAATTGGTGTTAATGTACCCGTTCTTAGGCAAACACTACTCTATATAGTCAAATAAGTTGAAGTAAGTATCGAAGATACCTCTTCGTATTGCTGCTATGTACATTCTTAAAAATCTTCCGACATTTCGTACAGTGTAAATGTAAAAAAAAAGAAACGTCGAATCGCGTGAACAGTTGCTGAAGTTTGATCACGAGGTTAAAATGTACAACGAAATGAAAAACAAGAACAAGAAAACACCATCAGAAAACAAATGTTTGTGTGATTCTGTTATTTCTTTTTCTTTCTTTTCATTTTATTTAAATTTCATCGTTCGCCACGCTCCACCCTTATCCTCTTTCGTTCGCGCACTCTCGCTTCCACTGTCATTCTATCGTTTTCTCTCGGTTCAACAGTCGCGATAAAATTATTTCGTTTCAACGATTCTGTAACAAAAAGGCAGGCGAAGTCCACGTCCGTCCTCGTGGGACATGCCAGTCGCGCGACTTCATTATTTTTCACCCTCAGATTCAACAGCGTTTATGTATGATCGAGGGTCATCAACCCCCTTTTCTCTCTCGCATCAGCTACGATTTTCATTCCCTCGTTCATACAGAAAGGGGCTCGTGTGAAATCGATCGAAAAAGACAAGGGTTGGTGACACCTACGCGTTACCAGATCGGTCAACCAGTTCGTTCATGAAATAAGAGAAACGATATGAAGATTTTTTCATGATTCTTTCCACCTTTTGTTCGC